GCTTTTGGGAGTGGTCGGACCTATGTAGCCCCTTCAGTCCGGTTCCTCGTCGTCAAGATGGCCTCTTCTTTCAACATTGTTATTGGCCGACCCACATTGACCGAAATCCGAGCTGTGGTTTCCCAATCTCATCTTTGCATGAAATTCCCCACTCCTATGGGAATAGCAACACTGCGAGGAAATCAGGAGGTGGCCAGACACTGTTATATCACTTCGGTAACACAACCAACGAAGGGCAAAGATAAGACACCCGAGGTTATTCCCCAGCGAATTCCTGATAATCAGCAGGTTATGGGTGTTGAGATCATAGATAATCGACCGGAAGATGAAACCAGAGCTGCTCCGGTCGAAGATGTTGAAGAAGTGCTCGTTGACGACAGAGATCCGAGCCGAAAGACGCAGATCGGAACTAGATTGAGCCCGGAGGAGAGAGCAGAACTGATAGCTTTTCTCCGAGCTAACAATGATGTATTTGCATGGACTTCGGCAGATATGCCAGGAATTCCAACTTCAGTATGTCAACATAAGCTCAGTACCAACTCATTGAAGAAACCAGTGGCCCAGAAGCGGCGTCTCTTCGGGGGTGAGAGGCTTCAGGCTATTAAAGAAGAGGTAACGAAGCTCCTGCAGGCTGGTTTTATCAGGAAAGTCGATTACTGCGAATGGGTGGCTAACCCAGTTCTGGTGAAGAAGGCAAATGGCAAATGGCGAATGTGTATTGATTACACAAATCTTAACAACGCCTGCCCTAAGGATTGCTATCCAATGCCGAGCATTGATAAACTAGTTGAAGCGGCTTCAGGCAATGAAAGGTTAAGCCTCTTAGACGCATATTCGGGGTATCACCAGGTGCCAATGGCTCCAGAAGACGAAGAGAAAACCGCGTTCTATGCTGGCGATGAAATTTATTGTTATGTCGTGATGCCGTTTGGCTTGAAGAATGCAGGTGCAACTTATCAGAAAATGGTAACCATAGTCTTCCGAGCTCAGATCGGCAAGAATCTGGAGGTGTATGTGGATGACATCGTAGTAAAAAGTCTGAAGGCAGAAAACCATCTAGCCGACCTTGATGAGACATTTAATAACCTCAAAAAGAACCGGATGCGGTTAAACCCAGCCAAGTGTATCTTCAGAGTGGAGTCTGGAAAGTTTCTAGGTTTTATGGTGTCCCGAAGAGGGATTGAGGTCAATCCAGAGAAGATCAGAGCAATCGCCGAGATGGAACCGCCGAAGTCAATTAAAGATATACAGAGGTTGACTGGAAGGGTGGCAGCTCTGCATCGATTTATCTCTAGATCAGCAGATAAGTGTTTACCATTCTTCAAAATTATGAGGTCGGCCGCCCAGAAGGATGAGTCAGGAAA